TTCAAACAGAACAAATGCAGTTTGAAATGAACAAGTGCAATTCAAATTTTGAACAGATAACTGCTGGCAGTTTCATATCTGTTCATAACTGCTGGGCAGCTTTATAACTGTTAAAAAAAACAGTTTGATCCTGCTGGAATTGGACTGAACAAGGGCACTGTTTGGACTGTTTGGATAGAAAATTTTCCCGCAAGGACTTGAAAAAATTCAAATAAATTTTATCTAAAAAATTAATGTTAGAACCGACTCGACCCACAACCTGCGTATGTGGTGGTTTGAGCCAAGGTTCACTTTGTCTAACTCCTTCCTTCTACAAAATTGGGGTGCCCCTTGGGGCCCAACCCAAGTGTTGCCACCTAGAACTTATATACACACATAAGTTCTCTTAAGTTTTCAATGTGGGATAACCATTTCAAGAAAACTCACATTTTACTTCTTGAATTGTCCATTCCACGAACCCAAAAACGACGTCGACTTCCCATTCATAAATTGTTTTAACGAACCATCTTTACCGTGTGACTTGCCATGCTACAATGAACACGTCACCTCTTTGGATCCACCTCAAAAGACGGGTGGAACCCACTCAAATTTGGGCTCAAAGTTGGCCCAAAATAAACTTATAAAGCCATAAATTCCAGCATATTTTTCACCAACACATACTTTGTACTATGTAATAAGCATGTAAGAATTATATAATACAATTTCTGATTATTTTTGTATTATTTTTGTCCTTAGAATTAGGCCAAGTTTGGGAAGACTAAATAAGTGCACTTTTTGTCTTTTTAGACTAAAAAGTTGAGGTTGAAAATATGAATGTTTGGGTTAACTTTTTGACTTTTTATAGAAAAATGTGTAATAAAAAATTGTAAAAATTAGTTTGTAGGAGAAAATTAGAATTGGGAATTGTGCAGCCGTAATTGTTGACTTTTGGTGAATAGTGATGACTTTTTAACTTTTTGAGTAACTTTTTGGCTTTTTGACTTTTTTTAAACTACCCAAACTTGGCCTAAATGTAAAGTGACAAGTCTTACTATTTTAACAAATAAAATTTATGTTAGGGCAACACATGCACATGTCCTAGCGGTCACTAAGACTTATTTTGAGAACATAGGAGACAATATATTAATAAAACAGCAAGAATATATAAATAAGATCTCAAAGGGTCATTCCAACCTAGCAACAAAAGAAAAAAACAACAACAAAAAACAAATCTGCTAAAAAAAACACGTAAATAAATAGGAAACATGTTAGTTTATTATAAAAAAGAAATTTAAAAAAACGTAAAAAAAAAAATAAAAAAACAGAGAGGTGGTGTGATCCAAATAAGCTAATAAATCAATAAATTAACTTCTTCTTTTTTTTATGCTCCTAAAAGAGTGTGATACTGTGGCAAGAGTATTAAAGTCATTTCATTTTAAATTGGTGTCAAAATTATTTTAGCTTTAACTCAATTTATTCATATTTTTTGTATTATCATATCAACGTATCATGTTTGGCTCTTAATTAGAAATAATTTAGGTTTATTGGACATGTGAGGGTTGACAAACCAGTCCCGATCTTTTTTTTGAACTTTTTTGTGTTTGTTGCTCCAAAACTCACCAATTTAATTGGATATTATTTTAGGAGAGGAGTGTAGCGGGTTCGGCACAAGCTAAGTCCTAAATTTTTTTTGTGTGTGTTTATTTTGAGTTAAAAAAATAACTAAAAAGAGTTATAAAAATTTTTAATTTTCTCATTAATAAAAAAAAAATTAATTTTTAACAATTATCAAGTTTATCAAAAAAAATTATATTTTAAATAAACAATAAAACAAAAATATATTTAAAAATATAATTGTCAAACTCCAACTAAGCCTAGGTGCTTGAGAGGGGCCCGTAAAAAACAATCCAATTAGCATATAAATTTTTATTTTTATTTTGGATAAATTACACTCACCTTTCTTGAGATTTCTAATAATTATAAAGATCTCTTATGTAATTTCAATAATTATAGAAATCACACTTTACTTTTGAAATTGTTATTAAGATTCCCCTACCGTTAATCTTCTATTAATTTATTTAACAGAATATGATAACATTATGTTGACGTCATGTGCTATGAATAAAAAATTTCAAGATTGCCCTTATATATTCAAATAGTATATTTCACTCACCCCTTGAGATTTTACAAAAAAATAATAAAGACTCATATATTGTTTTAATAATGTTAAACAAAATTATTAAATTCTATAGAATATTTTTAAAAAAATTCTAAATTGTTAAGACAAGCATATATAGTAGAATAACCAAACATTACCTTATCTAAAAAAAATGGCTAATAAATTGATTACCATTAAACCTTATACTGAATTAAATACAATAATTTATTTGAAAATTACGAAACAAAGTACAAAAGATGTTTTATTTTTTTAAAAAGACCACCAATTTTATAAACAATTATTTTGAGAAATTAGAGTTTGAATAAAAATTTAAAAATACATATAGGTATTTTATTTTATTTTTCCGTATGAAAAATACATATTTGGAGAAATTATCCCTCTCTTTCTATTTTCTTTATTTTATTTCTTTAATTTCTCTGTCTATTTATTTTCTCATTCATTTTTTCGTAGTGCCACTACAGTAAATAGCAACATCTTATCATTTATTATTAGTATTATTATTTGTTCTCTTCTCTATGTTTTTTCATCATTTTTTCTCTTTCATCAATGTTAGCAAGTATCACCTAATACCATACCAACTTACGAAACATGAATTCTTCTTTTGTTTTGTAAACATAGTTATGTATTAAAAATTTTTAAGAAAAATAAACATAAATAACATTTCATATTTATAACCAAAAAAAAAAATTGACTTATAAAAATTAACAAATGTTACCTCATAAATATATAAAAAAAAATTATCATTTTATCATTTTACAATCCTATATTATTCTCAAATTTTAATTATCATTACAAAAAATAAGTCAATATTTCTCACCTTAATAATAGAATTTTTTAAAATAAATATAAAAGTGAAAAAATATCTAGTCATGTTACAATACATTAAAATTAGATGATACGAAAAGAAAGATAAAGAAATTATTTGAGAATAATAAACTATTTAAATTTGTCATTTCTTACATTTAATTAAAATAGAATTTTATTTGAAGAAATAAATTATTTGAAAATAATAAAATAATTTGTTATTTGTTACATCTAAAATCTATATCTCCATCTTTGTTTCTTTCATTTAAATTATTTTTATCAAATTAAATCTCAAAATTAATTCAAATAAGAAACATGGATATTCTTTCTTAATTTTATTAATGGTTGATTTTTATTTTATTTTTTAAAACTTATAAAAGTTCAAAACTTTAGTGGAAAAAAAATACAAAGTCAAAAAAAAATGTGAGAAATAAAGTGACAATTTAATATATAGGTAAATTACAATTAAAGGGTATTAAGTGTAGGGTATTATGGTCATTTGCATAACCAAGTTAACACTATTTGGCTTAAATTAATGGGAGGGGGAAATCTAGGCAATGTCAAAAAAAGTAAAGGAGATTTTTGTAATTATTTTTTTTTTTTTTTTTACCTGAAATGGAAATTAGGGGGATTCGGGCTCCCCCATTTTCGGGGGATGAATCACTACCCATATAAAAAATAAAAAATAGTCCAGCTCTCTAACATAAAATGAGTTAATGGTCAATAATTTACTAGAATGCCCCCACATACGATTTACTTCCTTTCTAAATATGAAAATATACTTCTTTGAAGCCTAAGAAAAAAAGTATTGATTTGGTATTCCAAATTCTTCCTAAAACCCTACGTAGTACTAAAATCTCATTCATTCAATGCAAGCTAGCTAGCTCCAACTAAACAACTTCATCTACTCCAAAATTGAGAAAGAGAGAGAGAGAAGAAAAGTTCAAAAGGAATTAATAGAAGTAACACATTGGGTTATTAAAAAAATTGAATATCCTTTTAACATACCACATGTCTTGTAGTGGTGCTGATTGTGAAGCTGTTTCTTCAATTCTTTTGGACTTGAAGACGGCACATCGCAACGCGTTTACACTGCTATATATACATATATCTGCTAATAGTACGCTTTGGTTTGACCATGTCTTTACAATGGAAAAATAGTGACACAAAGACGGCCAGTTTTCACAAGTTTTTTGAGAGACACATACATAAATCATAAGAACAAATAAATAAAATAAAAGATTGGACAAATGGAAGTAGACCATCAATGACAATAACATAAGTGGCTCATGCTAGTAATTATTCTTCTATTAATGCCAGTTCACACCTATCTCCAAATGCATATGTATTAGTATACAGCTATAGCTGATTTAAAAAAAAAATTAAAAAAATAAAGAAGAAGAAGTAGTAAACTATACATATTTCAATGCAAATCCTATTGGAATTGCATCATGGGTTCAATTGAGAGAGTATATAATTGTCATGGGTAAATTATTTGGTGGAAAAAATTAAGCAGTCAGAAAAATTTGATTAGAAAGTCACTACAAGAATTTACACAATTGCCGACCACTTTTGTCGACCAAAAAAATTTTGGTCACAAAAAAATGACATTTGGCGACCAAATATTAATTAGTCGTGAATGATCATTATTTTCGGCGACCAAATATTATTGGTCGCAGAAGGTTATATTTTGGCGACCAAAAAATGAGTTGGTCGCAGAAAGTGGTATGCTTTTGCCGACCAACTACAAATTTGGTCGCGGAAGGTCACATATTTTTTGGCGACCAAAAATTTGGTTGCCAAAAACTTATTTTCAGCAACCAAAAAAAATTAGTCGCCAAATTAGTACTTTTAGCGACTAATATTTTAGTCGCCGTTGATTGAGATTTGGCAACTAAAAAAAATTGTCGGCGAAGGGTACCTTTTCTGCGACTAATTTGATATTTTGGTCGCCAAAAATTTTTGAGGGAAATTTGAAACGTGGGGCGGGAAATCAGAAACACATTTTCATTTTCTCCTCTCTCATCTGTTTCTCTCAAACAAACAAACAAATATATCAAAATATGCCCACAATGTATCCCTGTTTCTCTCACTCTCTCCATCTGTTTCTGTTTCTCTCTATTATTCACACAAGCACAAACCCTAGACCACCATTCAAAACCACCACCACCAAAAATGTCTCACGCCGCGGTGGCGTCGCCCTATTTCCCCATCGTGAGGTCGGCGGCGAACTCACCAAGGCAGAGAGCAAACACGAAGAAGGTGACTAACACGAAACGAAACAGGAGCAGCGTTGGAGCAGCAGTGGGGTTCGGTGGAGAGATGAAGGAAGTTCGGTAGCAGTGCGTGTAGCCGCCTACACTCTACCATTGCTAATCCTCTCGATTTCAGACCTCTTTCATCAGGTAAACACGCTCTCTCTTTCTCTCTCTCTCTCTCTTGCTCTCGTTCCCCCAATTTCAAACCCTAACTATAATTTTTAACTTTTCAGATCTTTACCTCTCAAGAGTTTCCTCACCTTGAATTTGCTAAACCTGTAGTTTTTGTGATATGGGTTTGTTTGAATTTCACTTTTTCTTTTGTGAGTTTAGTTTGGTTTTATCATTGTGATTCTCTGTTCATGTTGTAATTTTGCTGTGTTCACAAATTCATTTGTGGGTTTTTATATATTTAGTTTTGCTTGTTTGATTGTTATCTGAGATTGGTCTGTTGAATTGTTATCAATTTAAAAATTCTAGTTTTTGAGATCGATGGGTTTATCAATGTCCTGTATAGAAAGATGTAATATGAACCCATAATGGGAATTGTAGTTGTTGAGTTACAAAATGAGCTGTTTTATACTCTTGAATTACTGCATTACAGTCTTGACATGTACTTCGCAACATGGGTTAATGGACCAAGCTAAGTGAATTAGGTATCATTTCTGGATATATTTTAATGTGATTGAGGAACTTTTTACCATAATGATAATGAAGTATAAAGTAATGATGAGGTACCCTGGCTTTTTGCCCAATGATTTTTGTGCGATACCTTGCTTGCTGTGCATGTTTTCAGTTTGTTTGCGTTTCCCATTTTTTTTCCATCAATTTTTTTGATTGTGCTTTATTAATTTTTTTACTGAAACAATTTAGGGTTAAGTATACTTTACCCGTATGATTTAGGCCCAAAAACCTATAACTCTCTTCAGGTCTAGAAATCTACACATAGCTCCCATATGTTGCTCAATTGTGGGTGAGATGTGTGGTGGTGACTGCATTAGGATGAATTTTGAGAGAAAAATTAATTGTAATGCGCTTCTTTTTCTTTCATCTTCTTCCTCAACTATTCACAATCTCCCTCTCTTAGCCCCTCTTCGATAACAGCTCATCTATCATACTACTCATACCCATCTTCATCATTTTTGTCAGAACTCCAAACTTCTAAAGGATTCCTCAACCCTCCATAAGGCAAGCAATTATAGGACTTAATAGAAAATCTATTTGCCATACTTCTATCTCATCCTATCCACCCTATTTGAAGGTACTGGAATCCCATTAAGGAGTTCAAGGACTAATTTTCTTGTTAAAAAATTAATAGATCAAACACCTTGTCTCCTTTTCTGAAAATGATCCTACACTAAATTATAAATGTTCTCCCCATATATGAGTATGTTTTTCTTTTCGTTTTTCTTTGGTATTTTTTTGGATGTTGGGCGAGGTTGCAGCAAGGTGTTGTCACCGATGCTTCTTTTCTGTTTTTGAGACTGAACTCTTGGAGTGCAGCCACTCCGTGCTGGTCAACTGTCTGCTTCACAGGAATCAGTATTATCTTTTACGAAATAGCTGTAATGTGCTTGATATCTTCTTTTTAGAAGTTTGAAGTTTTGAGATTTGTAATCTTGATCAACACCCTACTTATCTTGGAGCCTAATTATAATTAGTTGTCTGAAACCTCTGCCTAAGGATATGATCTGAATATTTTCAGGGGGGGAAAAGCACATTGAAAAACTGCCAAGTTTTACAGGTTTGGCTTTTATTTCCTTGTATTATTATTGCATTTGTGTGGTATCAGGTTTTGTTGTGTTTCTTCATAGCATGTTTTCTGTTATACAAGGCTGACGCATTTTTTTTTCCCCTTCCTGGAAGTAATGCTATCAATATATTAATGCAGTTCACTTCACTGAAGTGGTACAGTACCCAAAGTCACTCTCTTGTAACGGTTCAATTCATTGTGCATTTAGAATTTGGGGAAGGTTAGCTATATGACAAGTAATAGAGAAAAAGAAAAAGAAAAGGAAAAGATAATAATTTAAGATTGTCCATGTTTGCTTGAGGCAATTGCAACTGAAATGAAGTTTGCCTTGAATTTCCTGGTGGCTGTAAGGGATCTGTTTGGATGGTACAAGATATAATGTAGAAATTTATTGAATAGATTAAATAAATAAAAAACTGTGAGAAAACATAAGAGAGAAGTGGGAATTGGTTTTTTATGGCCATACTTGGCTTTTGATGTGATGACAATCCATATGCTAGATGATGACATCACTTAGTGAAACAATGAATTCTAACTTCATTCTTGTCAACTGGGGTTATTTTATTGTCAAAAAGAAGCCAACTATCTCAATGCAACTTTCAAAAAGTACAAAAAGGAATTGAAGAGAATGATTGGTGACTAAGTTAAGCTCTTCATCCACTTGTTGATTCAAGCATGTCAATAGAAGTGTATTATATCCTGCATTTCCATAACATGCTTGTTATTTGTAGATGTATGTTTATCATTTTTTATAAAATTTCAAACTTTAATCAAACCTTACAATTCACAATCCAAAAAATAGAATTTAAAATTACAATTTAAATCTTGATTTGACAACTGCATTCTTGAAAAAAAACTGGCACCTATGAAACAGTGATAGATTTTTTTTGAGCTCAGTTATCAGGGAAGGGGCAGATGCTGTCAAATTGGCGTGATGTATCAATCTATCATGATTTTATGACTCCTACAGTCATGACCTTACAGATTACGATCATTCCGTCTACTGGGTTAATCTTCAATGATATTATCATTCCCCTTTAGATCTGTGATGATTCACTTGGGGCATTGCCTTGCAATCTTTGAGTTATTATTATATATTCTTTTCTTCTTTTGGAGTTAAATGCTTTATGGTGAGTATTTTTTCAAGTTTTGGAGATTTGGAGAGAGGGATTGGTAAGAGTTACGTTGGTTTTAGGAGCAGTGGCCCTTCATTCTGTTAGTCCATTCGGGATGAGGGACTTGGTGAACTTTTGAGCAGATGGCTATCCATAGTGACAGCATGTCATGCTCAGTCCTTTCTCTTTATGGTTTTCAGAAAATATTTCTTTTTCTTTATAGTCTTTTGAGATTTTTGGGAAGACTGTTAAAAACATTTTCAGAGAATGTAACAAACTCTTCCCTTTAGACACTCCTTATATTACTTGCTTTGGATATTATCAATTTGCTTGTGTTCGACACTCCTCTTTTAAGTAGGGTTGTAACAAACCGATCTGCTAGTGTTCGGTTCACTAAAAAGTAGTTCGAGACCTGCTTGTTTTGTAAACAGACCAAGTTTGAGTACATCTTAAAGCTGGTAATTTTCTAAACTTGGCTCAAACTAGACTTGATGAGCTTGTATGCAATCTATGGGCCAATTTGAACCCATTTTGTAACTTTTTAGTCAAACTTGAACAAGTCACTACTCTCTCCGATTTGCCTCGTTTACTTTTACAGAAAGGGAATGAAATTTATGCGCTATGATATTTTAGGCAAGTTTGTGCTTGAAATGCACTTTAATCTACCAACTGCATAAAACATTAGATACTGTATTACCTTGGTAAGTACATTTTCTATGACATACTGAGAGCCTAAACAAAAGAGATCCATCCAAAACTTGATTAGGAGTTCGAAATATATATTTTTATGCCTAATGACACTTTCTTATATCAGGATATGTTGCAGTTGCATTTTATTTTATTTTATTTTCTTCCAGAGTTGCATTTAGTTTGGAAATGACTTACTTAAAAATATATAAATAAATAAAAACATTAGGAAAAAAAGGACAAGAAGTTGGTCTGAAATAAATATAAGATTTTTTAAGACTTGCTTTATTATTTCTGCTCAAATTATATGAACACATTGAAATTTATTGTTGAAAGCAACGAAGACCATAATAACATTGTTTTCTGTGCTAATCGCTTTAATCCAACTGTTTATTATCTAATGAGCTTTTTAATTTTTAATTTGGAGGATGGATTTTTTCTTTTTTCTTTTTTTTTGGGATTGGATGTGCATATTCTCTCTGTAAAAAGGATGGATTGTGTTCCATTGAACTACTCTTGCTGCAGGCGACAGTTAATCGATCAAAGGGAAATCAAACCGAGATATCCAAAGAGGATCTTATCTAGAAAAGTTCATATTGCAGGGTTTCAGGTATTTGCATGTCCTGTAAAGTGTTCTTCCAGCTCTATTATTTGGAAGATATATCACAAATGAGTCGAGCTCAGCTCGGCTTGTTTGTAGCTTTAATCATAATGGCTGTGAATTTGATTTTCGATGTGAGTGCAGGCCGTGACATGGATCTTCTGGAACTGTCAGCATATGGCAATGTCCGATGAGGACAAGACTCTGGAGGATGCAACATTCAGTGATATGCTGCTCTTCATGGCTGGCAATTTAAATGTTGTCAAACTTTAGATGGAGAATTTCAAAAGCTGTACTCAAATCTTTCGGCTAGTTTAAAATAGCTGTCTTTATTGTATTTGCTTCATGACAGGTTTTGACGTAGGTCCTTGAGGGAACAGGTTTTGACGTAGCTGTCTTTAAAATAGTTGTTTAAAATAGCTGTACTCAAATTTAGATTCTGATGCTGCATTCTAACTTCTTTCTTTTGACGTAGGTCCTTGAGGGAACAAGTTTTGATATTTCAAAATTCCTAAACAAAGATGACGATATTGAGATGATATTTGGACAGCAGAGGGTGCGGCTCTACATAATTGCTGGTGTGAAAGACGATACCGCCTTTGCCCCACTTACCAAAAAAGAGATCAGTGTATGTTGCCTCTCCTCATCTAAAACTGTCCAGATTGTGAAAAAGATCACTTCTGTTGTATGTCTAGGGTCATTGAACTGAGTCCTTATCTTGTTTGTTTCTTGTTTGTAGTTCTACTATTAATAATTTGCTTCTAAAGTAAAAGAATTAAAAAGTCCCCTGTATATTTTCTATACATAGAGAGATCTAAATATATACACATAAACATTTGATATGTGTAACTAACAGTTTGGGTTTCTTTCTCCTTAATGGATGACAATGAAGGAGAAGAATAAGCTGACTGTAATAGCTGAATGGTTGGTTGAATGTTTTGTCCAGTCAAAAGATGATGAATCAGGTTTAAGTAGAGAAACTTTATAACAATGTCTTTGTGATGTTGGAAATGTGCCTTCTTGTATGCTGTTTGCAGGAAATTGCGTGGCAGAGGCATGATGAGATTCAACCTGCAAATGAGGATGTGATATCTCGTGGGACCACTGGCCTTAAGCTCTATATGGTTGCTCCTTTCTTGGTGTAATTGTCGTGGCACTTGCGTCTATAAAGTATCCGCACAGGTTTTTCTTTCTTGGCCAGTTTGTATAAGATCCAATGTCTTCTTGCAGATCTTTGAAAGCTTGGATTTTAGCACATAAGCCCCCAGTGGAGAGCATGTTTAAGAGGTTTCATTGAAACTTTCGAAGCTTTCTTGGAACTGTGTAATGCAATTCTAACTCCATGTATGATGCTGATCAAAAAATTCTCTCTATGTATGATGCCTGTACTTGTCTTTTTTTTCCCCTTGTCAACCTTCTGCAATTTTAAAGCCTTTAAAGCTCATAGCCAGGTCTGAGAAGCCCTTATTGCACTCTTAAATCGTATTTACATATGCCAACTCTTCACTCATTGATCAAGTGTAATGCAGAAATAACATCAAGCCAACTCTATTCTTGGTTACTGATCACATCACCCAAACTGCCCCACTACTTTCTTTATGCCTAAAATACTAGCCCTTAAACCTCATAGCCAGTTCTGATTAGCCCTTATTGTACTCTTAAAATCGTGCGTAAATGCTCCAATTCTTCATGCAATTTTTTGATGAGCACTCCAACTCTTCGCTCATTGATCAAGTGTAATACGCAAAAAACACCAAACCAACTCTTTTCTTGTTATTGTTCCCATCACCTTAACTGCCCCACTACTTTCTTTCCACCTAACTACTAGCAGATCCTTGCCCCTTCTATTGCCCCATTTGGCTGCTAAAACCAACTAGAAACAGCCTAAATAAGGCTCTTAGCTGCTGACCTACATTGTTTTTGGGGTCACTGTTTGTACTTTGTATTTTGTAGAGTTTTCTTCACAATCATCCTATATCAATCAATTACCTGTAATGTACATTATCACAAATCTGTAGCAATGATTCGGCTGTATGACTATAAATGTTTGGTTATCTTATGTAAATTTACTGACTTTGTCAGTGATTGTAACTTTTGTCAATGTGAAAATTGAGTGAATTTGTCAACGACTCAGGTAAAATAATCAAATATGTTTAACTGAATCATAGAAGATGTTGAACAACATTATTGATGAGGGTTCGAATTCCCTCCTGTTTGCCCGGTTCACTGGCTTAGGGGGTGGCCTCTAAACCTCAAATTTACCTTCTTGGGGTGGTCCAAAGGTCCCTGCCTAGGATGGGTTCTCGATTAAAAAAAAAAAAAAAAAGGAGGAAGAAATATGTTGAACTTCAAGTTGAGATTCAACTTTAATGACTTTGAAAGTAATAAATTCTTTTCTGTTTATGGATATTAAATCTATGATTTTTGGTTATACTGCTTTACATTATCATTATCAAACCGCTTTACATCTATTTATGTTGTGTTCTCCCTTCTTTGCACAGTTGGTTTGCTTATATTATTCTTAGTTTTTATTTGGGTTGCGGATGCCTAATTTTGAATTTGATATTTTCCTCTTTTCCCAGCTAGAAACGACCAAGTTCTTGTATGGCTGCGCAGTAAATTCCTACATACTTAATGTTAATTGGCTTATTGATTCAGTAGCAGCTGGTTATGCCTTACCGCGTGACAAGTATGTCCTGCATATATTTAACTTCCATTCATATCACTGGTGCTTTTTAGCCTGCTGATTTGTGTTTAACTTTCTTTCATCTTGTTGTTGGAATTCTTTAATTCTACTGTCATACTAACGTATAAATTGGTTATTAACTTCATTTTAATTTCTCAATGCAATATGGTCGAAGGAGTCACGCTAAGCTTTATAACAGTGGTCTTTGAAGGCTATAAAATTAGCCTAGATAAAAATAAATTAAAATTTGAGCATGAACTATGGTTGAATTGATTTCAGTTTGAATTAAAATTTCAACCTGTAAACATAATTTGTAATAGCCTTACCTCCACACTCTTCAGCAAAAGTCAGGCATTCTTCTACTAGGAAGAATTCTCCTCAAAAGAAGAGTCCAAGTATATGCTGAAAAATATTAACAAAAAAATAAATGATCGTGATCAAACCCATTGCACAATACACACATGTTTTCAGAAACAATCCCCCACCTAAACATTCTATCCATTGTAGCCAGTCCTCACTGAACAGCAACCCATTACACAAAGCTCCACTTAGGAACATTTTGAGGCAACCATGCCAATTTATGTTAAGGGACGATAGGGTATAGTGTTTGAATTGCTTGCCAAGCTATTCACCATTACTAGAGGGTAGCCAAAACACGGAGTCAGGCTTATTAGGATTCAATACAAAGCTAGCAGGGTATTAGCTTCAATCTCAGAATAGCAACCAATTGCACAAAGCTCCACTTAGCAACATTTTGAGGAAACCATGCCAATTTATGTCCAGAGACGATACGGAATACCATTTGAATTGCTTGCCAAGCTAAAGCCACAGTATATTCACCATTACTAGAGGGTAGCCAAAACACTGAGTTAGGCCTATTAGGATTCGATACGAAGCTAGCAGGGGTATTAGCTTTAATCTCAGTAATAACCACTCTTCTACCTCTAGGCCACTTCCAATTCCCAAAATTAATGATAAGAGGAAACTCTACTATTCATAGCCATGCCCATATGAAAAGCAACCCTTTCCCCATATTTCTTATTCAAAGGACCCAAGGGATGCCAATTATCAAATTGCGGAAATGTAACAGTCCCATCACCAATGATATATTGATCAAAGGCTGCCCCACAGCTCTTAGTTGAAAAAACTTCCTGACAGTCCAAGATGCCTCAGTAGGAAGACACTTACCCTTAATTACACAAGTATGGACCCACTTAACCCACAAAGAATCAGCTTTCTTACTTAAAGCCCACAAAGGTTGTCTTAGCATAGTGGCCTTATTCCACTCTCTCAAATTTCTGAATCCCAAGCCCTCTTCAGCCTTTGGTGCACAAATATGCATCCACTTCACTTTTGCACTGTAGTACCTAAACTCACTCCCTGTCCACAAATATGCATCCACTAGAGAGAAGTTTGTTTTATCTCTATTATTATTTTTAAGGAAAACTCGTCAGATGTATTCATTCATATCATATCTGGTAGGTAGGGTAGCAGAATGGATGAATATGCTTTCCCTTGATGTCTTGGGAAAGAGAACAGAAAGGAGGCACAAATGTTATGCCACCTTATTTATGTGAACTGCAAATTTATATTTTTTTTTTGGTACACGTTAATCTTTTGTGTGTGATTACTTAGATTAGGGGCCTTGATCATCAGTGCTGATTGAATGTCTGCTCAAGCTGCTCATCTACAACCCAAAGTTTAATCTAAAGCTAAGACCATCAGAATCATTCATGTTTTAATTAATCTGTGGTATTATTCGTTAAAATAAACTTTACCAACTTTATTAAAATATCATATATAAAAGTGAACTGAATCAATGGAGCTTTGATAGTTAACTATGTCTGTATTTGTTATGGTTGTTAGCTTATTAATCATCGTGTGCTGAAATTTGTAGGTACAGCAATAGGTACAGTTTTATTATGCCAGCTAGTTGTCTCAATACGATGTACATGTTTATAGGATTTAATTGATTTTTGCAAAGATACGGGTTTGCAATCCAGTGTTGCTGCCATTATCATGCTTCTCTGATAAATTTTCCAATTCTGTTTCTTTATTAGGTGCCTTACATCACTACTGCTTTGATGGATGCGAAGCGTGGCACGGAAGGGCGCAAGGATTTTTTGATTGGCTATCAAGGCAACTTAGTGATTAAGCAATTTTCCTGTTGCTGTAAATCTGAATTATGTATTGTTTCAATTTGTTATGCTAGATGGATGTGACTTGTGAATAAAAACTTAGAATAGTTTTATTGTGTCGAATGTTAATGAATTATGTATTGTGTCGAATGTTAATGATTCAGTTAATTTGAAGGATGCTTTAAAATTATAGGTTTATTATGGATTGAATGAATTATTAGGAATTACAGGTGTATTGTTTTCCTGCTTTGGCGACCAATTTATTAGTCGCGACAAATAAATTATTTTTTTTCGCAAAAAATGACAATTGCCGACCAAGAGTTTTGGTCGCAAAAAATACATCTATTGCCGACCAAAACAGCTCTTGGTCGTGGAAACTCACTTTTGCCGACCAAAAGTTTTGGTCGTTGGTCGCAGAATGTCACAATTGGCGACCAAAAAAATATTGGTCGCAGAATGTCACAATTGGCGACCAAAAAAATATTGGTCGCAGAATGTCACAATTGGCGACCAAAAAAATATTGGTCGCAGAATGTCACAATTGGCGACCAAAAAAATATTGGTCGCAGAATGTCACAATTGGCGACCAAAAAAATATTGGTCGCAGAATGTGATAATTGGCGACCAAACTTTTTGGTCGGGAAAATATCACTTTTCGCGACCAAAGTATTTTGGCGACAAAATAAATTAGTCGCGGTAATTAAATATTTAGCGACCAAAAATTTAGTCGCGAAATCCAACTTTTGCCGACCAACCACAATTTTGGTCGCGAATTACTTTTGCCGACCCTCAATTGGCGACCAAAGTAGCGAACAAAAAAATTGGTCGCGGATAACTTTTGCCGACCAAAAATTGACTTTTAGCGACCAATTTTTTTGTTGCCAAAAGTGTTAATTCTTGTAGTGTAATTATAAGATGCATATGGTACACACTAGGGGTGTTCGCGGTTTAGATGAATCTATAGGCATCTCTTCTCCAGATACCACATGGCCTAAGAACTTAACTTTCCTTAGCCAGAATTCACATTTTCCAAACTTAGCATACATCTTATGGGCTCTAAGAAACTCGATCACTACTCGCAAGTGTTCCTCGTGCTCCTCAT